CCTATTAAATTGATGATATTGGAGAAAAGATCTTATATTTTAGTAACCTACCTCTAGTACTTCTACTTTAATTTAAATACAAGATCTGAGTACTTCTACAACCTCTGCTCTTAGTATTCATGATAGGATACCCCCATTTTCCCAGTTACCAAGGTAACCTCCATAACATAGCAACACAGCTCACCTACGGTCCAGTGCGCATGTCAGAAAATGGGACTGAGTATTTTTGAGGAAACGTTTCCTGGGGAGACTGTAAAATAGGCAGTCCTGTATCGACCAGAGTAATAATGCAACCGGATGTAACCTTGACTTTTAGCCATATACAGTCTATGCTTTTAGCACACATTAGCTATACATGTAATCGAGTAAATGCTTGTAGTTAGCCGCCACGCCCTCTCTGTGTGTGTGGGCGTTACGTAAGCCTCTACGCAGTGTTGCCAACTTGGCGATTTTCTCCTTAAATTTGGCGGATTTCCAAACCCTCCGGCGACTTATTTGTGTCAAAAGCGACTAACGACTAATCTAGCGATTTATAATGGTGTTATTAGCGACTTTTCTGGTGTTTGGAGACTCACATTGTTCTGCAGTTAACGAGCCGCGGGTGCTGCCGTGAGCCCCGCCTCCCTCCCATAGTACTCACAGGCGCTCAGACTGACAGTTGCCTGGCCGCTAGGGGTGGGCGATACCACAAAATCTGGATTCGATCCGATACCAAGTATTTCAGGGCCAGTATCGCCGATACCGATATCGATACCGATACTTTTTTTTTAATGAAAAGCGTCTTATGTACTTTCATATAGGGGAGAGCTGCATGACATGATTTTTGAGCTGAAATCATCATAAATAGACTAAATCTGAATTCATTTTCATGACTAAAGACAGGACAGTTTTTATAGACAAATACACGTTTTACTTTTGCAAATTTAAAGTGCAAACATGAAAAATAACAATACAAAGTGGCCAAAGTAGCGAACTGTCTTCTTGCACACATCACAGTTCGCTAAGTTTTAATGGCCAGTTGTGAAATTGCTCCACACAACGCTGCTCTTTCTCTCAGTCATCATGCGCGTGTGTGTGTTGCACTCGCGAGTCGCTGGCTGCTGCTGTCCTGCCCTGCTGGCTGCTGTCAGTCAGCTTGATAATCGGCGTTCAGGCAGGGAGCCTCGAGGAGAAGAGGACAGCAGTGGAGAGAGAATAAAAGAGCATATACTTGTGTTCGTCTGCACATAGTTTTTTGAAGAAATTGACGAGTAGAGGAGACGAGAAAAAAAGTATAACAGTATCGATCCTATTGGCTCTAGTATCGATATTTTGAAACGTAACGTAATATCGGAGGTATCGATATTTTGGGATCGATCCGCCCACCCCTACTGGCCGCAGCAGAGCTGCTGCTGCAGTCAGAGCAGAGAGGAGACAACCACACTCCCCCGCGTCGAGACTGCAAATGAATTGCGCATGCGCCAACTGCCAAGCCGTCCTGGTTTTGAGCGGGATTTAAATGTAAATGTTTCTTCACTCACTTTCACACTATAATAAATAACTGCCTTTGCTTTGCCTCACACAGCCTCAGTCACTCAATCACCTCGTCCACTGTGTGTGTGCCTCTCTGTGACAAGCTAAACATAATGGCACAGTCTAAATTGTATTCTCAAAAATACAGAAAGGAGTGGGAATCAAACCCTGAGTATAAAGGATGGTTGAAGCCATTTATTGGAGATGACACACGGGCATACTGCCTTTATTGTAGTGTAAGGGGGATTTCTATGCCAAACTGTCATGTTAAAACCCCAAAACATACTCAAAAGGCAAAGACATTTCTGATCTACTGTCGTCTGGATTTAACTCCGGTGGTTTCAAGTTTTGATCCTTGAAGGGTTGGGAACGTTTTTTGCCTACAGCCGCCATTACATGATATGCAAATTAGGCGATGACGTCATTTAGCGACTTTTCGGACAGCCAATAGCTACTTTCCTTACTATGGAGTTGGCAACACTGCCTCTACGGCTACGCAGTACATTTAAGACAGGAAACGTCTGCGTGCTCGGTTAGCCCGTCGTTGTGTTTTCATCTGAGCTGCCAACCTCGTACTCTAGCTGCCACATTTAAGGTAAAAACGTGTGTTTTTGTGTAAGTTTAGTTATGTGATATTACCATACCATTACTCTGAAACTTTTTGCTGTGTGTTGGCGTCGTTGGAGTCCTCATTTGACCTTTCGTTTTCAAGGCGTCCTTCCTCTGCTGTGGTTTTAAGAAGCTATTTCCCCTAGTTTGAGATGTCATGTGTTTATATCATAGACTGCAGTGTATATATAACGATTTACATATAGGACAATGAAGTACCCGGGCATGAAAATCCGTTTTTTCAGGGGGGGTTTTGTACTAAATGTTGGCAGTGTTCGTACCTCAAATAAGAATACAAAAATGACGTTAAGAAAACTAACAGGTATTACTTATATATCTCTTCAACAGTCTCTATTCTATAAGTATCACGCAATAAACACTGCTGGAATGGTAACTTTTGGAATGTAATAGGTTACAAATTACTTGTTAGTTACGCTGTTAACAATGTAACAAGTACTTGCGCATACTTGATCAAAGTAATGTAGCTTATTCGTAACCCATTTCTAATTAATGTTTTAAACCAGAAAAAAATCTGAAAATGTCCTTAAAAGCATACATTTAAACCAGGCAGTGTAAAAGCCAACTGTCAAAGTTTTTATAAAAGTTCTTCAATATAATTTGAATTAAGATTGAAACAGAATAAATGCTGTACTCTCAAAATGACGCTGAAGTAGACACCATCATTTTAATTGGTAACTGTACTTTATTCACATAACCTCACTTTGTGTTACTGATTTACATTTATTTTTGTAATACTACATAATAACCAGAACTTTATCGACTATTGTTTTTCCTTTCTCAAAGTTTGCAGGATGGTGGCACTCTCCAAAGAATATGGCTACGTGGTGCTGACTGGGGTTGCCAGTATTGCCATGATTGGACATCTGGCCATTAAAGTTGGCAAAGCCCGCAAGAAGTACAAGATAGATGTGAGAAGAAGTCTTTTTGTTCAAACATATTGCAGAATATCTTCCAATCTTTCTCACTCATCCTGTTTTCATCAAGGCCGGTTGGTCTACATTTTGTTGACATAGTTTCATGGGGGGGGGGGCAGGGCAGGGCAGGGCAGGGCAGTGCCGTGCCGTGCCTTTTTTTGTGGCTTGTGTGAAGCATTTTGCATTGTCTATACAAACAAACGTGTCTTGCCTTGCAGTACCCTCAGATGTACAGCGACGACCCAGAAAATGGAAACATTTTCAACTGCATCCAGCGGGCACACCAAAACACGTGCGTATGAGTTGAAAAATGGGCAGTGTGACCTCAAACGCACCCACTTGAATTGTATTGCGCCATGCTTTCATGATTCATAGTAACAATGGTAAAAGAGGTGAGAGTTAACATGATGTTATCACCTCTTTACAGCCTGGAGATCTACCCTGCCTTCCTTTACTGCCTGACAATTGGTGGACTGCATGCTCCTGTGAGTGGATTTTTGTCATACTACTGTAGCACAAAAATAGAGGCTTATAAAATATGCACGAGAGACACTACCGGTGAACATATGTCATACTTTCACTTCCCTAGTTGACAACTTACTCTTTGGTGTATAAAAAGTGTTCTGATTGTTATGTTAAAATAGGCAAATTAGGCGTTGCTCAATAAATTACCTGCTAATTTGCATACATTTGCAATAATTTGTATTGCCAGGTTTAAAGTTTAATTTGGTTGAAATATAATAGTCAAACTTTTGAGCAATCTATAGACGCAAATAAACAAAGATTTAGTCAAATAAACACCTGAATGTGTATTTTCGTCTTTCTCTTTCACTAGTCTTAATGACCACAGCAAAATAAGCTTGACAAATTCTCAACATGGCTTTTTGCTTATTTGCTCTTGATTCAAAGCAACATTTGAGAAATATATAGAATCCTGTCATTACTAAATGTTAACATTGTGTGTGTGTGTGTTTCTATGTTAACCACAGCGTCTTGCCAGTGGATTTGGAGTTGTATGGATAATTAGCAGAGAGGTGTACGCACACGGATACTCCACAGGAGGTAAGAACATGTCAGGCAGTCCAAATGTAATTGACATTTTCGGTGTAGATATTCTATTACCATTAATACAATTCATCTCAATCAGATCCCAAAAAGAGGATACGGGGAGCGTTCGGCTACGTGGCTTTCCTCGGATTGATGCTGACCACAATCTGCCACGGCCGCACCCTGCTGGGCTGGACCGTACCCCGCATGGGCCCCTTCTGTCAAGCTAGCTGTTGCTAAAAAGGACCAAATATTTAGGATGCTCTTTCACTTGATAATCAAAGCCACTCTACATAACCCTTGCAATATGCATGCTAACCCAGGACCAATTTAACAATTTAGAGTTCATGTCGTCAAGTGACCCGACCAGTTCTCCAGGTATTGAAATTCCTCATTTAGAAAAATGAACAAGGTGTAGTACCTGGTCGGCGCTCCCATGATCTTTATCAAGCACCCAGATTCAGACATTTGAACTTGAATAATCCTTTATATTTTTTGTAAGTGAAGATGAAGGAGCTGTAATAAAAATGTTTGCACATTAAATAAAACTTGACAATGGTTTGTTTTCTTATTGAATTTTTTTTAGATTCTCATACAGGGTTTTGAGTTTTCCCATTGATCATAATAAATAGTATACATTGGTTATACATAACCTTGTGCTTTTCTTTTTTCAATGGGTATTGACCGAATGTGGGGTTTGGTCAACATTGGTGTGTTTAGTGCCTTGCCTTGCCTTTAGGGATCGGCTTTTTTGCATTTGAACGATTAGTTGTTCAAAGTCCACACTACTTGTCTTAGCATGTGGATTTATATCCCTGCAGATCTGTTTGGCTGGAAACCAACTGCGAAAGACAATGCCCGTCACACAGGTTACAATGACACAGCAAGACTCGCCCATACATCACAGTTTGTGTTTTATTATCAAACTTAATATCAATACATTTTTTACAGTCCACACTTCAATGGCATATTATAAATAATACATCACTGTTGGCACTTAACAGGAAAGTAACACACGAGGTAATAAAAACTGTGAAACAACAGCTTAGTTCCTGCACATTTGATAGGCTAATAATAGAGGCTGATACAGGTAACAACTATCTAAACCTGGGAAATTCCTCATTGTCTCCACTTACAGCACTTGAAGAAATACCATTTGCAGAAAACAAATACATTCCTTATAAATAGGCATTTTACAAAATGTTTTCAAAACTTATATATTTTACTTTTATAATTTGTTTCTAATTTAAGTTTGTTTTAGTGCAAACATTTGTCCGAACCAAATTCAAGTTTTATACCAGCTTCAGACCATGAAAATAAAAGTCCCCCCACAATTGTAATAACACAATTAAAGGCTGCAAAAATAAATATGTTCCATGTCAAATTTGAAGTTAAAATATGTTGTGTTTGTTTTTCCCAAAGATATGGCTTATTATAAAATCACTTCTGTCATTTAAGTATATTTTGCAAAACCTTAGTTTTAAGACAACGCGTGCAACCTGGCAATTTGGCTTAAAAGTGCACTTTACTAATATTTGGTCTCCTAAGGGTTCATCATTTATATTCCTTAATCATTTTGTGGTAATTTTGGCAAATATCCCATTTCTTTTTTTTCTTTCTTCTTGCCATATAACCAGAGGTTGTCTGTTTAGGACTTGATCCACATTACCTCAGACGTCCCCCAGGGGGCACTGCAATCATTCAAGCGATTTAAAGTGCTGTGCATACATGGGGAGTCACTCAGGGGTGCAGAGGCTCTACTAACTCAAAAAAACAGTTTCTACTAGACTGGAGATCTCTGGAAATGTAAAGGGAATGTGGCAAAAAGAACATCTACAATCTCCCATTTAAAAGACTAAAGCTCCTCTTTATGGAACTACAGATGAATATCATTTTATCACTGACCCAAAACTCTTCTTAAGAATCGTAGCTAAATACAGTCAAAGCTTTGATCTTTGAGTGTCGTGGACAGGATGCTTCCATCAGTAGGAGTATCTGGAGAGCGGCGTGTCCTCCATCAAATCATCCTGGAGGAGAAGAGGTAAACAAGATAAAGATTACAGCCTACCAGTTAAATGCTTTTACTCACAGTTGTACACTTGTTGAAAAGTGTATAAGGGATTTAGTGACTTTTAATCTGTTATTCCCTAAATATAGGAGTCGCATTTAGCAGTGCAGCAATTTAGTATTGCATTTCTATGTAGCTGTGGGACTAAACAGAGAGACGTTAAAGAAAAATGGTTAAAGAAAATTTGTTTTGCAAAGACGGGAAACCCCTGGATCCTACATTTCATATAATACAACCGAATATGGTGTCTTTCTTTAGACCATCCTTGCCTGGCCAGTATCATTTAAGTGAGCGTAGTCACTTATATCACCCATTGGATTTTAGACAACGTTTTACGATTTGCCATTGACCTCGAATTGTTACGGTTACTATAAACCACCAGTCAGCAAATCCTGTGAGATTTTAAGCAAAGTTCTGGAAATTAATTGAGGGTTACCTTGGTTGCAGGTCTCAGTGGCTGTTGCAACTTAAATCATAATGTAAACCCTAGAGCATACCAGCTTGGAAATGAACATCATGCTGTACTACAAAATACATGAAACTAGCGATTAAGGCCATGATTCAATCACAAACATTTTCAAGTTAGAAGTGGGTTCATTTGTTCTCATAGACTTTTATACAATCAAACTTATTTTTGCAACCAGAACCTGCCCCCTGCTGGCCATTAAAACAAATACGGTTCAAGGCAATTCACATTGATTTTGATTTGAGGCTCCCAAGGCATTGTTCACTTTGTTTCTTTTTTTGTAAAACAGTGTTTCTCTCTGGACTAGGTACCTATAAAAAAAACCTCTTAAGTAATAGTGAATCACAGCCACATGTCATTGTTATACATGGTAGGTGTCTCACCATGGGTAGATCCTGCAGCCGATGGAACTCTGGGTGAGTTGTCCGCTGACGAAACTTGAGGAAGAGGACGACGAAGACGATAGCAGTGGTGACGATGAACACTGAAAGCAGGCCAGCCAGCAGTGGGTCTAAAGGGGAGCTTGAGCGGGGCCTCTTGAGGTCTAATAGGATAAACATGATAAAACATGGGCTTTTAAGAGCGAGAAAATAAAGCCAATCTTGGGAGCCGAATACAAAACTCTTACTGCCATACCTTCATCTCCAACATTGAGCTGAGGCGGGACCTCTCGGTGTGTAGGCCCAGCAGGACCTCGGCCTGGAGCTGAGGTCAGAGGCTGTGCTTTGGTGGTGGGCTGCGTGGGGGCTGAAGTCAGTGGTTCAGACTGTGGCTGCAAGGTGGAGGCGTGGGCCGTGGAGCTCGTATCCTGCACTGGATACGAGCTGGCTGCTGGAGATGAAAAGGTGTTGAAGGGATCTGTGGTCAGAGCGGCTCTGCCTTCCGTGGTGGAGATGTGCGGCGTAGAGGCGCTACTCTGTACAGTCGGCGCGGACGAAAGGCTTTCTGTGGCAGCTGGAAGTGGGGATATGAAGGCAGGGATGTGTTAATTTAAGACAGTACATAGACTAGTTCAAAGGGAACAAACCGTACACACAGAATCAAGATGAGTCAATCCCTCTGACTGTGTTTATGTTTTCAGGTCCCACCTCTTTCCTAACAATACCATGAAACCTTGTTCGCACCGTTTGTATTTTCATGCATCAAACAACAACATAATAAGGAGGATGGTGGAGGTCACAAATTGCTGAGAACTGCCACTTTAAAGCTTTGCAGAGGCTGTGGACATTTGATTTGATTTTGATTTGAAGTTGAGGAATTCCATGTTTAAAGCAATCTGGATTCAGGATTTAATTGAAAAATTAAAAATCTTACTCCAAATTCAGACTCCAAACTTAAACTCCAAGTAAAGTCAGAGTTCTCTGAATTCCAATTAATGTTTTAAATATGTCAATGTTTTATTTCTGACTTTAATCCTGGGCGCCCAATGTTACCTTTTATTACTAACGGTATCTTGGCACCGAAACCGTAGTTTCGAATACACACCGGTGGTTTCTGACTTGGCTCGTTGTCAGCCGGTAACCAGCTGCCCAGACATTTCGTGGGAAAAAGGATGGAAACCAGGCGTTCGGGTGCCGTGGGAAGAACCTCCGTTTATTCACGTTCTTCAAGCTATATTGACACTGTATTCCATACATACAGACTAGATACTATTCATTTTCTGACCACTTTCTCTATACTTTCGTCCCCGGGCGCCGTTCAAAATGGCAGCACACTGCTCCTAACACTAGGATGGGTCAAATGCAGAGAAACAATTTCCCCACGAGGGATTAATAAAAGTCCATCTTAATCTTAATCTTATTTCACATTGGGCTCAGTTCTCTCCTGTATGATAAACTCCAGACATCTGCACAAATGTAGAGATAACAACAGAATGCCAAACTCTTAGCCTCAGGTCAACAAACTAACATAGACACTAAAGGATTGTGGTTTTTATGATATTAAAGATCTAAAACTAGATTGACAGTCAGAAAATGTATCGGTATAGTTGCTATTTTAAAGCAAAACATGCTGTTTCTATAACTAGTTGTACAGACAAAACTGCGTCACTATGCATTCCACAAATAAATAAAATAATCATAACCAAAAAAAACATGCGTAGATTAATCGATAATGAAAATAACCCAATAACTTTCAGACCTAAACAACACAGGTAAATGTTGACAACACGCGTGCTTGTAACAGGGCTTCTGTGGGCATTATCAACAACAGTCTCCATTTTTTTCCTTTTCACTATAGCTGTAATATTTCTTCTCTGTGAAACTATTGAATAACACACACTAAGCTCACCTCCTTTCCCCTCACTCATCATGAGAATATTCTTACTCCACTTAAAGCACATGTGGCTGTTTACATCAGGCTTGACAGCTCATGCCAACAGCTGGGGAGGGGGCTAGGAAAAGGGTGTGTTCAAGGACCTTTGTACGCTGTGAAATTACAAGCCAGAGTAATGTTTACATTGAGGACAGATTGAGTCAACAGGCGAAAGACAGCCATGTGCATGTTTTGCATCACATTACAAAGCAACCAAAAGTAGTTGCTGATGCAATTGTGGGCCTTCGAAGGGAGAAACTCAAACAGCATCTCTCGCCTACACATTGCTCGATAGGGGCGGAAAGAGAAGTGGCGACAAAGGCTAAAAAAGGGGGCAAGGGTTTGATCCGGATGACGTTATTATGTCATTTTGTTTATTTCTGGGCTGCTTAAAGAGGCAAGGCAGCATTAGCAGCGAGGGTTATATTTATCTGAGCTATAAAAGGGAATCTCGTAGATGAGGTTGCGACACACATTCTCGATATCAGTGCAGTCATGAGAGGGTCAGGGGAGCTAAATGTTCCTGGAATGCTGCTGGCAGAGTCTGAGAGGAGCGTCTGGGCAGATTTAAGTGTGTGGGCTGTTATATTTTAAGATTCTGGACAAAGTAAACAGACTGGACAAGAACATTAAAGATACAGAAATATATAGAGCTTTTAAAAAGATAAATGGTGCATACAGGTTGGATTACCTGACAGTGAAGCAGGCACATTGGTGTGTAGGGATGTAGCGGTGGACGATTGTGTTTGATATAGGCCGAAAGAATTTGTCACAGTCTCTGAATGGACTGTCACTTCGGTCTTGGTCATAGTTGTGGTTTGGGTTGGGGTTCCATCCCCGCCTGCAGGATTATATGTCCACTGTGAGGGCTCATTCCCAGGATGCTCCGTCAGGTCAGGAGATGCTGAGCTTCCAGCGTGACTCGGGGGGGCAGCTGGGGTGAGGACAGGAGGCAACACACCGCTCTGACCTATGGAATAAAAGATCAATATAAAGGGATGAAAAGGTCTTCTACAATTGTGTCAAAACAATCTCACAAAGTCGAATTTTTAAATGCTTTGTTTTGTAAGATAAACATTCAAAAATAAAAATAATACATAAACATATTATTTATAATCATAAAACTTGCATATTTGGTTGGGATAAGTAAACTCACTAAATATGTTTACTTGAGGGCTTTGATGGCTTTCCTTACATTCTTAGTCGACTAACAGTGATATTGTTGAAACATCGATTAGTTGATGAATCGATAGATCTGTATAAGGGTTTCTCCATGTATCATGCAAAAGCCTCACTTCAAATCTTGTGTTTTCCTGAGATGTGCTATACGATTTTATGAAATAAATAATTTAGCATGAAAAAAGTCTTAAAATCGACTATTTGTCCAAAGAGATCTTTGTGATGAGTCCAAAAGGAACTTTGGTCGACTAATTGTCTTGTAGCTGGTAGCCCTATATTGTATAATTTTTTCGCTTATATGGAGCTTTTATAACCCAAAGATAATCAGTTTATTATGATGAAAGCCAAACTCTGATATTTGAAAAACGAGAACCAGCGATCTCTTTAAAAAAGAAATCGCTGCTTATGACTTGATTAATCGATTCTCAAAATAGTTGACGATCAATTTGATGTGATTATGCCAATCACTCTTATGCAATTTAAATGCTATGATGAAAACTATGTGTACTGACAGCAGTTTGAGTGTTTTTGAGTCTATCCTGAAATAAATAAGATATATTATTCCAATGAAATGAGAGAAGACTGAACTAAAGTACGTTCAACGTTTAAATAAACATAGCTAGTGGTCACAAGAGTTACCAAATAAACAGTGAAACACTCATCTTCTTGAACAAAGGTAATCCAAACGATATGGTGAGGTAGTAAGCAAACTGTAAGAAGTTAATAATACATGTAATGACGTTAATTTGCCCATCAGCCTGCAGCTCTGAATACACTTTCTGTAAGATCAATAGAACATCATGTGAGAAATGGAAAGCGCGTCAGCAGGATGTCAAGTCCCTCCAACACACACACACACACACACACACACACACACACACACACACACACACACACACACACACACACACACACACACACACACACACACACACACACACACACACACACACACACACACACACACACACACACACACACACACACACACACACACACCCACACACCACACACACACACACACACACCACACACACACACACACACACACACACTAGGGATGCTACCTTACCTCTTGTCTGCGATGGGCCGGTAAGCACCACCAACATGCAAAACACCAAATTCATTTCAAATATCATCTTCCTCGCGGACTTTCCTTGCAGATCACACCAATAAAACCGGACCAAAAGCCTCCCTCCTCAACGGTTTCTCGGCTCTGAGGTAGTTTCCGTTACGTGAATTGACAGGGCGCATCATCGGCGCTAAAAATATCCTGAGGGAGTCGGGCAGAAGAGAGGCAGGGGTGGGGCCGCTCCGCAGGCTGCATGCGGGCGGTGTTTGGAGCAGAACGGGCTGCACGGGCTTTATTCGAAAGAGGCAAAACCGATCTCATTGCACATTCATATTTCACTCTCCAGCTTTGTTTCTCTTAATCTGCATATATTCCTATAGCGACATGCATCAGTTTGCAGTCGCTCCTCTGCTCCAATCAGGTGCCAGTGCGTCAGAGGCGCAGTAGTCTGCGTCAGGAGCGCCTGTTGTACCACACACTGTTTTCCTGATGATTAGGCTTGCTTCAGTGGCGGTTTCTAGACATTTACCCTCATGGGCGTCAGGGTGTGCTTGTGGTAATGTGAGACAACAACTTTCCAGCCCCCGCAGAGGTCAGTGTGTCGTCATGGCTGAGCGCACTGCCCACATGTGTGCCGTGTGGACAGCTGAGCCGCGGCGTCCTCAGCGTGCTCTGACACACTTTAGAGGACAGGCTCTCCTCCTTCCAACCACTTTATTGTTTATTTTTTGCCGATCAGGCTTTAATTTATAAAGGATTTCCAAAGGCGACAGGAAGACACCTTCTCTTCAGATGGAGCTTCCAGCAAATCCGGGAGACAGCCCGGTGGAGTTGGAGTTAACGGTGGAGAATGTGGAGTCGGTGAGTGACTTGTGCCACTTCTCATGGTGACTGTCTGTTGATCTACACGTCTGTTAAATCATTTAAATCTCATTTAAATTCACATATTTGTCATCAGATCATATTGATATGGACATATTTGATTTGATACAGTAACTGAATGTTCTGCAGCAGTTTGGTTAAATAAATAAATAATAGAATGGTGGTTGGATAGTTCACCAAAGGGAGTTTAGACACACTGGACATTTTGTAACATGATACCAGCTATAAGCATATGCTGTCCTAATAATAACTAACACCATATGCCTTGGATTAGTTGCTATGACAACACATTATTTGACACAATTCAAACAATTTGACATCAAGTAAACTGGGCATGATCATCTCAGGAATTATAACGTAAAATGACACCTGTGTTAAAGATTTGAAAAAGGCGTGTATCCACCTGTTATGATGAAAATATACAGGTCGTCATTACTCGTCAGGAAGTAAAGGGAGATTGGCAGTTTTTAGCCAATCTGACATCTTATCAATGTTTTTAATAATGATGGTTTGTATAAGTGTTCACTTTGCCTCGGTCCTCTCTCCTCCTCCAGGCTCTCTACCAGCTGTACTTCGACCCGGACATGGAGCGTAAGAACGAGGCCCAGAAGTGGCTGACCCAGGCTCAGGCCTCGGCACAGGCCTGGCAGTTCTGCTGGGCCCTGCTGGCCCCTGACAAGGCATGTGTTGTGTGTGTGTGTGTTGTACATGCATGCCAACAGCAGTATAGTTTATCTTAATCTCCATATCGTGACCATGGGCTGAAAAAACGATGTTGAAGAGGCAAACTTAATAGATGTTAAGCATCTTTGGTTAGCGTGTTGTGTCTCTTTAGTCATTTTGAGGCTCTGTAGTTCCTTTCTTCTCTTTGCAGTTATTTTCAGTCTGTGTTGTTTTGTCTCTCTTTATAGTCATTTTGAGTCCTTCTGAAGTTGTTTTGTCTCTGTTATTGTATTGTGTCTGTTTGTGATCTCGTTTACTCTTGGTTATCATTTTTAGTTGTCGTTTTCATCCTTGTTGAGTCTCTTGTAGTCTCATTGTGTCTCTTATAGTCTCATTGTGTCTCTTATAGTCTCATTGTGTCTCTTGTAGTCTCATTGTGTCTCTTGTAGTCTCATTGTGTCTCTTGTAGTCTCATTGTGTCTCTTTGCGAATGTTTTGCATCTCTCTGTAATTTAGTAGTGTCTCTTATAGTCTCATTGTGTCTCTTATAGTCTCATTGTGTCTCTTATAGTCTTATTGTGTCTCTTATAGTCTCATTGTGTCTCTTGTAGTCTCATTGTGTCTCTTTGCGAATGTTTTGCATCTCTCTGTAATTTAGTTGTGTCTCTTATAGTCTCATTGTGTCTCTTGTAGTCTCATTGTGTCTCTTTGTAGTCTCATTGTGTCTCTTATAGTCTCATTGTGTCTCTTATAGTCTCATTGTGTCTCGTATAGTCTCATTGTGTCTCTTGTAGTCTCATTGTGTCTCTTTGCGAATGTTTTGCATCTCTCTGTAATTTAGTTGTGTCTCTTTGCTTGTTTGGGTTAGGGTTAGTTTGTTGTCATGTTGGGGCCTTTGGGGTTAACTTGGGGCCCTGTAGTGACCCATTCATAAATGTGTCTGTATCTTTGCAGCTCCCAGAGGTTCAGTTTTTTGGCGCTAGCACCCTCCACACCAAGATCTCCCGTCACTGGAGCGACCTCCCCTCAGACCAGCACGACAGCCTGAGGATGCAGCTCCTCTCCCACATCCTGCTCTTCTCCTCCGGACCCAAAATGGTGCTAACCAGGCTGTGTGTGGCCCTGGCCTCCATGGCTCTTAACCTAATCCCACAGGCTTGGTCCCAGCCAGTGGCGGACATGGTGAGGGCCTTTCAGCCACAGAAGCCTGATTCTGAGGGCAGCTCGGGCTCAGAGGCCACCCAGGACCCTCAGGCACACTGCCTCGCTCTGCTGGAGCTCCTCACCGTTCTTCCAGAGGAGTTCCAGAGCCGCCGGCTGGCTCAGGCTCGTCGTGCCCAGCTGAGAGAGGCCCTGGCTGGGGAGTGGGCAGTGGTGTGTCCCTTGCTGCGTCAGCTTCTCCAGAGTCAAGACTCCTCAAACCAGGTGAAGGAAAAGGTGCTGCGCTGCCTGTCCAGCTGGACGGGGCTGGACGTGACGTTAGGGGACAGTCATGAGCTGGTCCAGGACTGTTTCACTGCGCTGTCCAACCCCGAGCTGTTCGACAGCGCTGTGGAGACCATCGTCACCGCCATCTCACAGCCCGACAGCCAGAGGTGAGAAACACTCTGCCAGTGTGGAACAAGTGCGTCTACTCAAATACTGTACTTGAGTTGAGGTACTTGTTATTTACTTGAGCTTTTCCATATTTGTGCTTTACTCTGGTTTTTAAGATAAGATAAGAAATACTTTATTGATCCCAATTTGGGACATTTCTTCATTGCAGCAGCATAAAAATACAATTTTCATACCCTTCCTGGGAAAAACCATTAATCTCTAGATGTTAGGATTTGGAAGGATTGTAATAAACTAGAGGATGTAGTGTTCCTTTTTGAGTTGGGACATTTCTCCTCCTTCTTTACAGTAGCTAAATGTTCTGATTCAAAACCTTTTGAATCAGCTCAAAATACATTACAAAACATGGAGGTTTTGAGAGGATGTGTGGTCCTATATCCCTGTGATCTTGTAAGATATGGTGCAACGCTAAAACAGTTAATAAGTAGAACTTGGTACAACCTTAAACATCTATGCAGTATGTTGCAACACATCAATTTAGCAATACTATTACTGGAAAAATTGTTTTTTTAAAAACCCGACAGGGAACAATAACGAACCAATCAATATTTTAATTTTTCATACGTTTGAACTACATTTTGATGACAAAGACTTATAAAAGGTATGGAATGAAAGACTTTATTTTAAGAAGAGTATTTTCACATTGTGGTATACCTTATTTCACAAAGGATCCAAATATATCTTCTACCACTTTACACTGCATCATACATGTTTGTAAAAGTCACAGTCCATGTGCAGGTGTGTGAATCAGAAGGTGTGTGTGCAGGTACACTGATGCTCTGGTGACCCTGATGCCTCTGGTGCTCGGTCTCCATGACCAGCTGAAGACAGCGGCGAGGGACGGGGACATGGAGAGCTCACATGGTATCTGTCGTATCGCTGTTGCTATGGGGGAAACACACTCCAGGTACACACACACACACACACACACACACACACACACACACACACACACACACACACACACACACACACACACACACACACACACACACACACACACACACACACACACACACACACACACACACACACACACACACACACACACACACACACAGCACCTTCCTTTCTGGCTTCAGTAAATTACTTTTATTTCTTAATTGGGATCAATGTGTTTGTGTCTGACAGGGTTTTGTTGGAACAGGTGGAGCACTGGCAGGAGTATCTGGCTCTGGTGAACATGATTCTGTTCTGTACCGGCATCCCGGGGTACTACCCGGTCAGTGAGACCACCAGCTCCCTGACGCTCACCTTCTGGTACACTCTGCAGGTACGCTAAAAATTAGAGAATTAGATAAAAACATGTTTTGTACATTACATTTTTTGTTAAATGTTATTTTCTGATAAAGAAGTTAGTGGTTTAATATGAAACATCTCAGCATTAAATGACTGCAAACAACTAGATGTGTTATATATTTTTTTGAGTTGCAAACCTATCCAAACACATTTTTGTATTAAGGTAACTGTCAATCAATCAATCAATGTTTATTTATATAGCCCAATATCACAAATGTTACATTTGTCTCAGTGGTCTTCACAGTTTGTACAGAATATCAGTATGACAATACGACACCCTCTGTCGTTAGACCCTCTGTCCTTAGACCCTCACATCGTACAAGGACGTACAACTGTCTTTTTATTTGAGTTTATTCATTATGTTCGATGTATCCACTTTGTGCATGCATCGGCGTTGTAGCTGTCTGCCAGAAGCTGCCATAAATGGAGCCTTTATCTATTTTAATATTTTAATAGTTGGTTTGATCTTGGCTGTTTTTAATAATATAGTTTGACCTGATTTTAGTCATCACACATCTAGATCTTCATTTATAAAGAGACAAGCTGAGCAAACATTCGCAGAAGCCAAACTACACACAAAACATTGATTTGAACTAGTTATTATTTTGTTCAGTGTTTTTTACTGGCTTTTAACCTCGGATTTGTTCATTTTGAAGACCAATGCAGTTCAATCAGGTCCCTGTAAACCACCCCATGGACGTCTTTAGTTAGTGTTTTAATTGAGAAGTAGAAAATGACATATTGAGCACTAACTGTGTCTATGTGTAACTCTGTCTACCAAAACATTAAGGAACCAAACGTTCTATTTCATTTTGTGTTGCTTATTTAGGATGACATCTTGTCATTTGATGAGGAGAAGCAGGCAGTTTACCTGCAGGTCTACAGGCCAGTTTACTTCCAACTGGTGGATGTGCTGCTACATAAATCCCACTATCC